GGTCATCATCTGGGGAGATCATCGCCCTTTGGGAAAAGCACATTGTCTTCCTCCTCACCAGTGGCACATGACACTGGTCAGTATCTAATACAGAGCGTCTCGGATGCTGCCCCAGAGCCTGGCTTATGGAGCTAGCATGGAACCCACACCACAGCTTCCCTGGTCCACAGAGGCTCTCACCGCCATTGCCACCAGTATGGTGGTATGTACTCACAAAGATTAAGAAAGAAATGTATTCTGATTAGATTGTATTTGTCCTTCTTTTTATTTCTCTATTTATCTCCCCCTATTGAGTCATTCTTTCCTTCTGCCCACAGAAATAGTTGGCACTTAGTCCCAGCTATTGTATAGACATTGCATAGAGACATTTGGCTGAAAATGTTGAAAGGGGAAAATACACTAGACATTTTTCCCCTATGTCATTTGAAACTGTGTGGTAGAAAGTTAAAAAAGAACATCCGCCAGATTCATCAAACAGGGTTTGATTACCTCCCACCATGGTGAAAAGCTGACAACATCTGGTGTCTGCCCTGGAGCAGCTAACGATTTAGTCAGGGAAAAAAGCAAACTCGTGTAATGGGGCCCAAAGCTTGGAACTGGTACTAAATAGGTCTAAACAAAAGCCTGATGATGTCCTGAAGAGGGAGAAAGAGTGAGTAATGGCCACTGTAGGATTGGAGAAGGCGTCAGTGAGGCTTATTTGAATGGACGCTGCAGAATGAGTAAGAACAATAGCAGGTAGAGGGGATGCAGAGCCTCCCAGGCCAAGAGTACAGAGAAGAGTCTGGAACACCACAGGGGGATAGTGGGGCAAGGACAGAAGTGTGGGACATGGAAGAGGTGTAATATCATGAGAATGTCCCCAGAGCAAGTGATCTTTCATGAAGGGGGAGACACGAAGAGGTTACCAGGCAAAGCATGTGGCTGAGGGCAAGAGCAATGGGGAGAAGCTGCAGAGAGTAGCAGCATGTGTGAAGGCTGGGAAATGCAAAGGGACGTGGTTTCTTCAGAGAGCTGAGGGCTGAGAGGAGGTAAGCAGGAGCAAGGTTGCACCGCTCCTTGAAGATTTTAGATTGGGAAGGCAGAGGAGTGACAGATTGTGTTTGAGAAGCTTTCTCAGGACCAAGCATAGGGGCTCACACCTGTATTCCCAGTACCTAGGGAGATTGAGTTGGGAGGATTGCTTGAGACCAGCCTGGGCAACATAGTGAGACTCTACCTCTACAAAAAAAAGTTAAAAGTTAGCCAGGCACAGTGGTGCATACCTGTGGGCCCAACTACTAGGGAGGTTGAGGCATGAGGATCGCTTGAGCCCAAGAGTTCAAGGCTGCAGTGCACCACTGCACTCCAGCCTGGGCAACAGAGCAGAACTCTGTCTCTGAAAAAAAAGAAAGAAGAAGAAGTAGAAGGAGAGAAGAGAATGGGTTGATCATGGTGTGAAGTAGGGGAGGACCAAAGGGGAGCTAGACAGCCCAAAGAAGAGGCAGAGGCAGGCCAGACTAGATATGCTGCTTCTGAATATGTTAGCTTTGGGCTCAGCATCCAGTTTACATGTGGGTGCCCTGTACTTTTAATCCTGATTGGGCATATAAAAAATCAATGGGGAAACATGATGTAAGTGGTTCTAGGTATGTTTCTGCTTCAGTGGCCTCCCAGGGTGCTAATGTCACCAGAGAGTGTGTAGAAGGTGAAGGATTTTCAACCTAATGCCACATGGTACTTCTCTTCACCTTCAGGGCCACGTCAGAGAGAGAGAGAGACAAATGGAAGGATTAGATAACTTACTTGTACCCCTGATTCCATGCTGTTCAGGGAAGGAGAACCACCGCCATACTAATGAGACGTGACAGTCACAAGTTTCTAAGTTATAAATCCACAGACTTCTGGATTTTAAGTGGCTTCCCAAAAGCAGCTTGTACAGAGGAGCCAGAAGTTTCTCTGAGCTGCAAGGCTCTGAGGGATCTTGAGCAAGCCTGTGCTCTGTGGAAATGTCAGTATTAGCAGCCTCCCTGCACCCCCGCTGCCACTTTCCTGGGCCTGTCTTTGTCTTACTGAGAGACTTCCAAAGTGTCTTGCCCAGGTAGGGGAGTATCAGCCAGTGGCATTGCATCCCTGCGTTGTTATATTTCAGGGTCCCAGCCCAGTGCACAGGCCAACCTAATGGACACACCAGGGGGCAGGGAGGAATAATGCACTGCTTTCCTCCACCCCAGCCCTTCCTGCCTCCTCCATGAACATCTGATGGTACCAGCCCCAGAATCTGCTCAGGACACCTCCTAATGGGAACAAAGAACCTGGCCCAGCCCGTGCCACCCTCCACCCCATTTTCCATTGTCATTGAAAGTGGCTGATGCTGTCCCCAGCCAGGCACCTGCTAGGGTTGCTGTCCACGCCTGGGGAAGTCATTTGTGTTTCTGATTTTTCCCTGTATGGCACTTGGTCTACAGGGCAGGGATAGGGGTTACCATGTCAAAGACCTAAAGAGTTGTTGCCCTGAGGGGCTAACTGGACTCATCATGGAAAGCGGAGGACCCTTGAAACAAGCAGAAAACCCGTGGAGCAGAATCCCACACCCTAGGCCTGGTACTACCGCCAGAAAGCAAACAGATCTGGGATGGAGACTGGTCCTCAGGGAGGTTCTGTGTCCAGAGGGAGGGGCAGAGCCACTCTCAGGTTGTCTCAAAAAAAAAAAAAAAAAAAAAAGAGTAGCTCATCTGACTCTGTAATTTTATAGCCAAGGAAACACCCTTGGAGGGCTTTTCCTCCAAGAGTGGAGGGGCTTCTGCAGAGTAGAGGCCAGACCATGCCACTTGCCTCCCAGGCCAGGCTCTTTCCAGCAAGCCCTAACATTGACTTCCAAAACTGGGACAGGCTGACCGGTGATAGGGCTTGGCACCCAACGCTAGCCTGTGGGCTAGTCCCAGCCATGCAGAGCAGGTTTTAAAGGCTCTGTCCCTCTGATCCTAACCTCTTCTTTGTCCAGCCTGATTTTGCTAGTAAGGGTATCCAAAGCTTTCGACCACAAGGAGGCTGTTAGGGGAGGAGCAGTGGCATCGCTGGGCAATGGCTGCCCTGTGCCAGATTCTGCCAGACCCATTTGGTCTTAGGGTCCTCCTGGCCCTGAGTGGGCCTTAAATTCCCTCAGGCTTCATAATGGCATTTCGAGAAGAGGGGGCTTTACTCCTATGAGGTGGGGTTTGGAGGCTTAGCCATTCTCTCTGTGTTCTTCCAAGCCATACTGCTAGTCACAGGTATGGAGAAGCTACTGGGCCCCCTGCCATTGGATGGTACTATCACCTGCAGCGGAATAGTGGGAGCCTGGCCCAATTTGGAACACAGTTAAATATGCTTCCCTGTGAGGCTGTTTTGGTGAAAGCCAGAGGGTTTGGGTTTCACTCCTATTATGCTAATTTTAAGCTTGCAATTCAAATGAATTTTCCAGGGCTAGAGGAATTGTTCCTCTGCATTTTTGTTTTTTCATTAAACGCCTTGCATTCTACCTCTTAACATTTACTGGTAGGAGGACCTGCCTAAAGGTCTCTGAAGCTCTTCCCTGGGCCACACAAGGAGACACGGTCATTTGGGTCAGGAGGAGCAACGCTGTGAGGCAAGGCTCTGCTATGGCCAGATGCCCACCTGCTGCCTGCTGATTCCCCCCTGACATCCCTGTCTCAAGCCACACTATTCTGCTACACCCCTGTCCCCAAGGAAAGCTGGCCTTAAGGGATGTGGGGCCACCTGGGCAGGAGCATCCCCCAATAGCCTGTGGGATGAGAGGATAGACAATGGTGCTGCTTTGTCTTGTGATCTGGGTGGGGAAAGCAGGCATTTGGGAACTGGCCCTTTTATACCTTTTCTAGCCCCTTTGGGAGCCACCCTTTCCTGGGTAGGCTCTAAAGTCCCATCCAGCCCCATTTTCACAGCAAGGAAGGAAGGAGAGGTGGCCTCAAAGCCTTGACTTGAGAATAGCTCTGTCAAACACCCAGAGCTTCCGTGAGATGATCTGGAAACGCCCAGGCATCCTCAGGACCAGAGAGGCTCCCCTTCCCCCCACCAGGGATGTGGAACAGATGGGAGGACATCAAAGAGGAGGCCCCTTCACTGAGGGATTCCCTGCCCCCCACCACAGGCTAGCGTTGGGTGCCAAGCCCTATCACCGGTCAGCCTGTCCCAGTTTTGGAAGTCAATGTTAGGGCTTGCTGGAAAGAGCCTGGCCTGGGAGGTTAGAGGCATGGTCTGGCCTCTAGTCTGCAGAAGCCCCTCCACTCTTGGAGGAGAAGCCCTCCAAGGGTATTTCCTTGGCTATAAAATTACAGAGTCAGATGAGCTACTCTTTTTTTTTTCTTTTTTTTTTTTGAGACAAAGTGTCTGTTGCCCACACTGGAGTGCAGTGGCGCGATCTCAGCTCACTGCAACCTCCAACTCCCAGATTCAAGTGATTCTCCTGCCTCAGCCTCCTGAGTAGCTGGGACTATGGGCAAGCACCACCATGCCCGGCTAATTTTTGTATTTTTAATCGAGACGGGGTTTCACTATGTTGGCCAGGCTGGCCTTGGACTCCTGACCTCGTGATCCACCCGCCTCAGCCTCCCAAAGTGCTGGGATTACAGGCGTGAGCCACGGCGCCCAACCTGGATGAGCTACTCTAGTCTAAGGTTCTGCCTGGCCCTGCATTTTCTGATATTCTGAGCCAAAGCCCAAAATGACTTGCCTCAGTAGCCCCTGTTCGCAGATGGAGAGCTGAGGCCTGGCTCTGAGGCCTGTGCCAATGCTTGGCCCAGGCCAAGTCAGCTGTTTCATCCCTCCTACTGCTGGGAAAGTGGAGAGGGGGCCAACTCTCCAAACCCAAGGCACTGATCACAGGAAGGCAAGCTTGGATGTCAGGACTCCCATCAGGCCCAGCTAAAAGGCTTTGGACTTCCTCAGGAGTCTCCTCAGACAGAATGGCTCTGTGCTAACAGAAGGGGACTCATGAGTGCCTTTAAGAGATTAGCAGTGTATGGCATGCAGTGGGGTGATGACACTGAGGGGGTCACTGGGGTATGAATGTCATTCCCCCATCATCGTCAACCAGGCCATATTGGTACAAAAGGTGTCTTTATTGAGGTCTGGGTTAAAATTAGGCACTTGGCCAGAGCAGCAGCTTAAATATGAGGCAAGCAGGCAGGGGTTAGCCATGCCTGGGGCTGGGCTGGGGTCATGAGGCTACAGGCACAGACTGTCCCCAGGTGGACAGAAGTCGGAGGGGGAAGAGGAGGAGGAAGGGGCCGCAGAGCAGCCTGGGTCAGAGGCCTGGTGGGCCGGCCCCATGGGACTAGGCAGGAAGCTCTGGGTGGCAGGTCCAGCAGGGAGGGGACCAGGATCTCTTGCTCCACATGCCCCTTAGATCCAGGCCTGAGCCTCTGGCAGGGGCAGCCGCACTTGGCGGGGCAGTCTTCCCAAGCCTCACTTCTTCACCTTGGTGTCATAAGTGCCTGCATTCTTGTAGGCGCTCACGTAGCCACTGTCGTCCAGGATGTCCTGCCGTCCCGCAATGCCCTTGCCCTTGCCGCTCTCATCGAAGCGCTCCTTGTGGGAGCCTGTGTACCTGCTGGTGTCCGTCAGCCGGTCTACAGCACCCCCTGTTTTTGCTTTCTGTTTGGACAGAGTTTCCCCAGGGGCACCTGGTGAGGGAGCCCAGCCCTTCCCACCCACAGCCATGATTCCCCACACCCCATTCCATGGCCACCCGAGACCAGCAGGGCACTTACGGTGACGCCCACATTGGCTGGCTCTTTGCCTGCCACCAGCTGGCAGATGGCATCGAAGGCCTCCTCCTTGCTCTTCCCCTTGAATCGCTTGGTCGCCAGCTCTTCCAGGGCCTTCTTGAACTCCTCATAGTTGATGACCCGAGCAGACTTCCCCCTGCCAGGCATGTGGGCACCATGAGTGTTCCCCTTTCTTTTTTCTCCCCCAGGGGAAAGCACAAACGCAGTCGCTGCTGCCACAAATTATGCAATTGCGTTTCTTTCCCACATTTGGGGAAATCGCGGGGGTCAGCACCTCTGGAGGGCAATAGATAAGGTTTGCCCTGGAAGAACAACCTTCGTGATCATGGTGTTTCCCTGACCGCTTCTCAATGTCTTCCCTGGTTCCAGCCCCCCAGTTCCCCACCTCCTGGGAACATGAGAAGCAGGGGCTGCCTGGGGCTCACTTGACTTTGGAGAAGACGATGTCCACATCGGTCCCTGTCACGGCCTTTCCGTCAGCCACCTTGCAGTCCTTGCACAACTTGGCCCAGTTCTTGCCATTCATCTCTTGCCCACTGGCCTTGGGGTCACCATGGATGGCAAACTTGCGAAAGCTCTCCTCCAGTCCAGCGATGTCTGTGCTTGCTGCCATGCCACCCTGTAGAGACCCACCTGGGTCATCTCCCAGCCAATCTGCCCTTCCCCTCCCCCAAGCCCAGAACATCCCAGCCTCTACCTCAAACCTGCAAGACCTGGGCAGGTTCTGCTACAGACAGAGTTGGAGCTGGAGCTGCCTGGGGAGAGGGGCCAGTCACTGTCACCCTGGGCCACAGAGCCCCGAGGAAGAGCCCTGGGAGGCACGGTCTTGTCACTAATGCCAGCCCTGGCTCTGAGCAGGGTTCAGCAGATGAAATCATGATGCCCACAGCAGGCTGGGAACAGAGTGGCACTGTCCAGAAAGACTGTGAGGGCAGCAGCTGGGGCCCTGGCTTTGTCTGGCCCTGGCACAAGGCCTCCTTCGGTGGAAGTGAGGGTGGCACAGCAGGCCCCCTCCCTGGAAGCTCCACGCCAAGTTGGGTTGGGGCCAGGCCAGGCTGCTGGTCGGGCAGGCATTTAGTGAGGCCGGCATCTTTGTAAGGGTCATGAGGATCCAGCAAGAGCCAGTCTGGGCACGGGTGCATGCCCTGGGCAGGGGTGCAGCTGGCCCAGCAAGGCCTTGTTACTATTTGCTGTTAAACAAAAACATGAGGGGAGCGGGAGCTTGGGGCTGGCCTGGCCACAGTTTGTGAAGCCTGGAGACGGTTGCTAAGGGAGGGTGGTGCTGCTTGGAGAATGTTGCTAAGGGCAGGATGGTGTCAGGGCGGCTCAGGGAGAAGCTCCCAGTGCTGAGGGGCTGGGCTGGGCTGGGCTGGACTGGGGAGCTTGGGCCCACGGGTGGGGCACACCAGCACTCCCTGCGCCTGGGGCATAACCATAGCTTCCTGGCCCCTCGCCATTGACTGGGGCTGTAACCTCCCACTGTGGAGTTTTGGGGGAGCAGGAGGTTGGGGACTAGTTAGGGTGGGGGCTGTAGAGTTACGAACCCCAAGAGTCATGCTGGCACTTGGGGCTGTGGCTGAAACACACCTCCTCATGTCTACACTTCAGACCACCCCTGGCAACACCCTGAACTCAGCCACACCAGCCCATTCCCGGCGACCCTGTGCATTCAGCCCTGGCCTGGCACCCCCTGGGCCTTGTACCCCTGGCCATACCTTCAGCCCTGCACTGCAGCCTCCTCCATCCTCACACCCACCGTCACAGCCCTCGGCCACCAGTCCCCACATATATACTAACAAGCCTGCGCCGACCCCAGTAATACCCACACCCCTGCACTAAAGTACCCCCCACACCCACAGCCCTCTGCTGCAGACCCCTGGCCACACCCTGAGCCTGCACAGCAGCCTCCTCCATACCCACACCCGCAGCCCTGGGGCTGAGGGCCCTGGCCACAAACCTGCATCCCTTCCTGAGACCCCTAACCACAGCCTCAGCCCCTCACCCCCTCCAATACCCACAGCCCTTTATCAAGGCCCCCTGACCGTCAGTACCCCTTTGTCCACACACCCGAAGCCCTCTGGCCACACCCTCAACCTGCACTGGAGGCCCCAGTCCACATCCACACACTAACATTATGAGACTCCCAGGTACTATGCGGAGATCCCCTGTGTAGAGACCCCACCAGCACTCCCCCTCCTCCACTGCCACCTCCTGACCACACCCTCGGTCTCAGCAACCATCTTCTAGCTCTGCCTTTTACACTAGGGCCTCCAGCGATTACAGCCTGGGCTCCGTCCGGCTGCCCCATCTTCCACTGAAAATTCCTCCCCAGTGACCACACTCCCATCCCTAAGCGGCAGTTTCTGGGACTGTGAGCACCGGTGGCTCCTATGTTACAGGGACCACAGCCCCAGTCCACACTGCACACCCCTTCCCTTTCCCTGGGTACAACCTCCCACCAGGGACCCGAAGACCCCACACTTGGTTCACCAAGGGTAACGTCCAGGGGAGCTTGGATGCCACAGGGTGCTTGGCCCAAGCACTGGGCGGATCCTGCGTGCAGTGCTCACTCCTGTCCATGGAAAGATGGATTATTGGTCATCTCAGCCCCGTCAAGTGGCGCTGGGTTGCAGGCCACAGCCCCATGCGTTTGCAGGCGGTGGATGGAGTGGCCACACCCATGAACTGGGGCACCCGTCCCACTCCCACTGGGACAGCTGGAGTCATCAATCAGCCGGACCAGGAGGTGGGGGCTGTGAGGTGGAATGCTTGGGGCCAGGGCAGGGCCGCTCAGCTGGCTCCTCGGCTGGGACCGCCGGAGGTTGGGACCCTTTCCAGGCTGCTCCCCCCAACCCTCATCGTGCAGGATACTGATTGGGGTGGCGGGCATCTGGGTCTCCTATGGGCTTCTACCTCGCGACTGCTCCTGAAGTGCGCGTTCGGATGGACAGAAGGACGCAGTAATGGACCGATGGACGCGGGAGACCAGGCGGCTCCGCAGCTCCGCTCCCTGCCGGCTCCCGGGTGGGACTGCAGCCCAGGCGGCTCCGCCGTATTATCCCCTGTTTCTCGGTCTCCATAGAGACGGCGAGTCCCACCCCCGAGGCTGTCTCGGCGGGAGAGTGACCAAGGTCACGCCGGCCCCGCCCACGAGGCCCCGCCCTCCCCGCGCCTCTCTGGAGCCGCATCCCGCCCCTCCCCCGCAACTCCTCGGTCCTCGCGGCGGCCAGACCAGCGCTCTGCAGTTCGGGGCGTCTTCGGACGGCCCCCTCAGGAAACAGCCTCCCATCCTGGGATCTACCTAAATCTCTAAGCGGCCCGAATCTCCAGGGGAGATCCAGCTCCCCAGAGTCAACCAGAGACCATCTGGGGGCTGCAGCGCGGCATTGGTGGGGTTTGGGGAATCGGGAAGGAGCTCTCCCTCAGTGACAGGGGTCTACGGTTGGCTCAAGAGCACTGCCATCCACTGAACGGGTGGCACCCCCAGGCCACAACTCCCGTGCTCTCCTGGGTAGGATTCAGAGTCTGGAGCAGTGGGGAAGAAGGGAGGGGACTCCCCACGAGCGAATCGCACTCGCCCACCCCCAGCATGCTGGCATTCGACGGCAGCCCTGCTGCAGGGAAAAGCTGCAGGGACCTCCAGGCTCAGCCCCCTCCTTTCGCCGCCACCTCCCCGGGACCTCGCAGCCTCAGTGCCCATTGCTTCTTTCGGAGTCCAAAGCCTGCTTTCTCTCGGCCTCCCAGCGCAAAGCCCATCTTTAAAAAAAATAACCTCCTCCAGGCCGCCATCTAAGGCCTTTCCTAACCACGAGACGCACCTGAGCACCTCCACAGGGCAGCCTGGGTGGCCACCTACTGTACAGGGACCCCCTCCCCACCGCCGGTCGACTGGCCAGGGTCGGGCTTCTGGATGGTCCGTGGCCCCTGTCATTAAGAAAGTAAGCACGACGTCCGCAAAAGCATAAAAAAGTTTATTGGAGCATCACAGCCGGTGGGGCGGGTATTGCTGAGTCGTGGGGGAGGGAGGCCGATCCCGCCGGCCGTAGAGGCCTCTAAAGTGCACTCGGTGCGGCAAGGATGGGGTGTTGCATAGAGAGTCGGGCCGGCCGCTCCAACTCGGCCCTCCGGTCTCCCGGCCCAGCTAAGCCAGACCAGTCTCCGGGCCGCCCGGCGCCCCGGGCTCGCCGCTACTCGGACTCACGAAAACGGCGGGGGCACGCGCCTGCAGCGCCAGCGTGGGCTCTCGGCCCTGGCCCCGTGGGGCAGCCAGAGCGGCGCTGCCCAGGCGCGTCTGCGCCACTGGTATCTCGTCCACGGACTCTGCTGACGCCGAGTGGTAGGCGCCAGCAGGGCCAGCAGCGTGCACAGGGCTGGCGTCCGCGGAATCCGTCGACGAGCTGGAGCGGCGGCCGGGGGCCCTGGGCCCTGCGCAGGGTAAGGGAACATGAGCCCAGTGGCTGCGGCTCACTTGTGACTCTGCCTTCCCCTCCCTCGAGTTCCCAGAGCAGGACCCGGACAGGGAGAGGCTCACCCGACGCCCGATCCGAGGTCTCAGACGTCCGCACTTTATACACGCGCCTCTTCCTCTTTTTCTGCAGAGACACGGGGGAGACTGAGGGCCCCACATCGCCAAAAGAAGCAGAGGTGAGCGCCAGGGTAGAGGCTTATTTTTATCCCACTCCACCTGGACCGGAGGCCCAGCACAATCCCTCCTACCTGGGGTCGGATCCGGGGAGGCAGGGCAACAGTGTCTGGGGAAGAGGGTGGTGGAGGTTCCGCTTGGCCACTGGTGGCAAGAAACTGGGAGGGACTGAGGGGGAAGCAGGAGGGTAAGCCTGGGCTCTGTTCCCCAAATCCCTCCCAACTGGAGGTGCTGAGAGAAGCTTCCCTCACTGTTAGCTCAGAGAAGGGCCAGACCCATGCCCCAACCTTAGCCTACCGCCTTCTCCTGCCTCGATGGCCCTGCCATGCTAACTGGAGATGCCCAGGTTGCACTCACTTGGCATTCACTGCTGCTGGCCTGGCCTGGCCAGGGGGCTCTGGGCGCACATGGCTGAAGGTCCGCATGTAGAACTCCATCTCCTGGGGAAGGTGGGAGTCAAGGACGCTGGGAGGCCAGGTGTGGCTCCCGAGCCTCCTGAGCCCTGATCTCATGCAGTCCTGCCCTCACTGGCCTCTGTGGGTCATTTCAGGCCTCATGCCAGGCTCCTAGCCATGCTGGGAAAACCCGTCTGTAGGGTAAGGCTTAAAACACCTATTTCTGGCCCTTGCCTCATCCCCAGGTCCTTACCTCATTTATTCAGCCTCTGCCTCCTGCTGGAAGGCTCCCAGCCCCCATGGATCTATAGGCCTAGAGAGGCTCAGCCAGGGAGTGGTGGGAAGCTCAGAGAGGCCCGCACCTGCTCCTGGCGTCCCCAGGGCTCCAGCCTCTGAACCAATTATTTTCCCCTGGCTGAGAAACAGGCCTAAGTGTGCATCCACCAGCTCCTGCAGAGCTGAGTCCTGGGCGCACCCCTCGCCCTCACAAAGGACCAGCCACGATCCCGGCTGCCGAGAAGGGGCTGCGTAAATGCATGTGCGGTGGTCTCCCTGCCACTACGCCGAAAGGGAAGGTAGTAGGTGGTGGAATAAACAGAGCCGCAGCCCCATTGAGCACCAGGCTTACAGGCAAGCCCTGATCTTCACAGCAACCCTGAGGGTGCAGACACGACCCCTGAAAGCAAAGGGGCCTTGAGGGCAAGGGGTTGCAGGAGTGGCCTAGTCCTGCACCCCCGCCCGCAGGACTCCCCCCAGCTTTGCCGGGGAGGACGCCAGGTGAGGAAACAAAAGCCGGGGGAAAGCAGGCCCAGAAAGGGCGTGGTGCGGGATGGGGGCTGGTCCAGGGCGGGGTCGGAGGGGGGAAGGTTTGCCGGGAGCACCCAGACAGCTGTCGCAGGGTTCAGCAGCCGTTTCCATGGAGACGGAGGCGTCCTGACTAATGCAGAGAGGACACTGTAACAGCAAGGCCGTCTCTAAAACAAGCCTATGTTTGGGGGCAACGGCTCCAGAGAGGGGCCCCTCCTGCATTCCTGCTGGGGTGGGGGTGGGTGGCTGCCTGCAGGGCCCTGACAGATCTGGGGGAGGAGCCCAGCCAGCAGCCCCGCCCAACCTCTGCCCTGGCTGCTGCTCTGGAGAGGGGTGTGGGAGCGCCAGCCTAGGCTGAGGGGCACAGGGGTCAGGGGTTAGAGGCCAGTCACAGGGACTGGGGACCTCAAGATCACTCTCCCCCACACCTCTTCTCTGCCCCAGTGTGGACTCAGTGACCCTCTAGGGCCAGCAGAGGGGCAAAGCCCACTGGGGGGCCCTGGGCTCCAGATGGGGGAGCAGACGAGGGGGCAGCAGTAGAGGAGGTCTCAGAAGCTGAGGGGCCAGGATGGGACAGGCGCCAGGCCCTAGCCAGCTCCGGAAGTCTGGAAGCGTCCCTAGTGAGTCCCCACTCAGAGCCCTGTCCTCTCTCGCCATGGCTGTCCAGAGGATCCTTCCTCAGAGACTTTCAAAACCCTGTACATTCCTGAATGGTACTGGGCCCTCAGCCTCAGCTCTCTGCTTTGTAAAAAGGGACAAGAACATCACTCCTGTCCCCCGGGTTTGCCTCCCTCGAGTCACTGCAGATGGACAGAACAGAAATTAAATGTCTTTGCTATGGCTACATTTGGCCCCAAAGCCTTGGCAGGGCAAGGCCAAAGAGCCTGCCCTGACTCAGTGGGTGCTACTTGTGAGGCTTGAGAAAGTCTCCTGCCTGATTATCTGGGCCTCCGTCTCCTCTTGATGTGGGGCTGGAGACAGTACCCTCTCCCCAGCACAGCTGCCACCATCAGAGCCCAGCACCGGGGCAGGTATACGGTGGTGTAACAGCGGAGTCGCCACCCACAGCCAGCATGCCCCAGGCCCAGGCCTGCCCAGTCCTGGCAGCCTGGCCCACAAGCAGTGTCCAGCCCTGGCGACAAGAACAGGAGAGGCGGGGTCCTAGGCCCTCCCCAGCCCACCCACCAGCCTCTGTTTGTGTCCAGTTGCCATGAGGCCTCGGGATCCAGGGCTCAGCCTTCCCCCAGCAAAGCCTGCCTGGGCCCCGCCTTTCTAGTCCCTAGGGGCTCCTCTGAGGACTGGATCACCCCCACCCCAGCTGCTGACCTCAGGAAGCCAGGGGGCGTGGGAATGGGGATAGGCTGGTCAGCCACTGGCCTGGCCAGGCTGGCCAGAGCATGGAGACCTTAACTCTTCCCAGACCCAGCTTGTGGTTAACCTTCTAGGCCTCAGTATGCACATGTACAACAGAGGCTGTTCTAAGCATAAATTAGGGTAATGGGCATAAATGCTCAAGGTCATGGATGGGGAGAAATGATGGCTCCATCCTGGCCACCCATCACTGACCCCGTCGCTGGTCCATCCCTCTCTCTCTCCTGCTGCAGCCCCAACCTGCTTACTTCCAGGCTCCCACATCCCATGCCGTCCGCGCATGCTTGGCGCCTGGGCAGGCATGTACGTGGGGTCCGGGAAACACAGGGCTCCCTCTGGCTGTGCCCACGCTTGGGTGAGCAGACACAGGCTCAACACAAGCCTGGTCCCTGCTGCCCCCAGCACCCCCGCCCCCAGCACCCCCGCCCCCAGCAGCTGTTCCAGGCTTGCTTCCCTTGCCCTGTCTCCTCACTGGCTGCTTGGTGCACAGCCCAACACCCCCCACACCCAGGCCCCTCCCACCCCTCATCCTCTATACCTGAATGGGCCGCATCTTGGGAGGACATGACTCGAGCTCCCTGTGAACCCCCTTGGCCTCCTGTGGTGGGCGGTGCTGCACGATGTACTCATAGGTGGTGAGCTTGTGCCACACTGGTGAGGGGAAGAGAGGGCTCAGTGTGGTGGAAAGGAGACCCTGGAGCTCAGAACAGGAGGGAGGACAACCAGCCCCAGGCTGAAACCAGTGTCCCCAAATACACGAAGCCATCGGGTGAGACCTGGCCACCATAGCGAGCCCATACTGGGCAGGGGCATGGTTTCAGGCTCCACTGTCCAACTGGGCACCTTCCTGCAATCTGAGGACCCCTGCGCTCTGGAAGGCAGGTGCGGGAGGCACTTACTGAGATAAATGTGGAAGCAGAGCAGGTGCCCCAAGAGGGCTGTGGACAGCAGGCCCAGAAGGATGAGCAGGGCAGCCAGGGCCAGGATGGCAGGGGCCTGGGTCTCCACGGGGGCAGCGGGCAGGAACACGAACCACACATCCGTGTGATTCTTCAGGACTGCAAGGCACAGACAGCGTGTGCTCAGCCGGGGACGTGACAGGTGACCAGGGTTGGGGGTGAGAATAGGCCCGGAGCCTAAACTGACCTTCAAAGTGTCGGTTGGTGCGCAGCCGCATGGGGTTGACAAAGAACTCCACAAAGACATATGTGGCCACCAGCACCAGGAGCAGGACACCCAGTAAAGCGGATGCAACACTATGTAGAAAGAGCCTGGGCCCAGCCATGGGTAGCTGTCAGCTCCCGGGAGCTCCAGCGCCTCGGAGGGCTCATAGGAGTTGGGGCTGTAGGGTCATTGCTACGGGCTCAGAGGGCTGAGGGTGACCCCACAGCCCCAACTCCCCAGAAGTCAAAGGCATACAGCAAAACTGAAGACGGGTGGCCACCCCATCAGGCAGCCCACCTTTCTCTGGGCCAGCTCGGTGGAAGATTCCAGGCCCACACTTGGCCATCTCAGCCGGCACCCAGGAGCATCTCTCTGGGCAGCACCCCCGCATAAAATGGGCACAGGTCCTCTAAGTATCCCCATCCCTGCCAGCCTGCCATGCGGGCTGCAAGGTCTGTGGCTCCCACCCTCAGACAGTGCATCCCCAGGCCCCCGTGCGGCCAGGCTTTCCTCACCGGTAGTTCCGCTCGCCCACACAGTTGTTGAGCCACTTGCAGTGATGGTCGAAACCGCACACGCACTTGTTGCAGGCGCTGCAGTGCTTGGAGCGAGCGCTCCTGCAGGGAGAGGGGGCACAGCGCGGTCGGCCGGCTTATTCCCCGCTTTGCGGCCCGGCCGGTCGGGGCGGTTGAGTGGGGTCCGTGGAAGGACGAAGCGCCAGGCCTGAGACAGCCCCGAGCGAGGCGACGGGGAGCGCGCGCGCCCTCTGCAGGCGCTGCGGGGTGGGGTCCCTGGAGGAGGCAGCGCTCCCAAGAGCTGGGGGACCCCAGGAGCCGCAGGAGGGGTAAGGAGGTGCACCCCTCCTGCTCCGGGACTGTGCGCCTAGCTGATGCGCCATGAAACGGAAAATGGGCGTCCTTTCCAGGCAAAGAACCCTGAGAGAAGGCAGAAGATGCAGGTGTGGGCCCAGGGAGCTGCAGACAGCAAGGTGTGGGGCCCAGGGCCTGCACTGCCCTTCCGGACACCTCCGGCAGTGGGTCCCTGTTTCCTTGCCATTCTATGGGAATGGTACTGGCATTTTTCCAGAAACTTCAGTCTGTGTGGACTAAGAGAAAAGAGGCAAAAGAAGTGCAGGCCGCCATCCGCATGAGCATGCTCACCACAGGGGCTCAGGGTAGTCTCCCAGCCCAGGGAGGCACAGGGCAGGCCCAAAGGCACAACCCCTCCACCAGAACAGGGCAGAGCCCTGCAATGGGCAGCAGCTTCTGGAGCAATCGCTTGGAAAGTGTGCTGGCGGGTGCCCAGTGAATGGCAGGAAGTCCTTGGCGCCTAAAGGCTAGGGGCTTGCTCAGTCTGCAGACAGACCCCTTCAACAGGCTTCCTGCGGGGGCTGGCCTTGGGCCATGTCCCCATCCCTGATCCCCCACCAGAGACCTGGAGACTGTGGGGCTCCAGAAGGGTGGAGAGGGGCCCCTAGAGAGGCAGCTGGGACCAGCCAAGGGGGTAGGGGTGCAGCACGTACTGACTCCTCCATGTTAGCAGAGGGACCTTAGCAAGCCACCTGCCCCCCCCGGGCCTCAGACTCCTCCTGGGTAGGCCAGGGCACCAGTATCTGCTTGGGGGCCTGGCCGCCCAGGTGTAAATCTGGCTCCGCTATCAGTGGCTATGTCTGGCCTATCAGCCTTTGTAAGTGCTGGGCTCTTCCTCCTCCATGAAGTGAGAAAACCAGGCAGGGTGGCTGCAGGAAGAGCTCAGCACACAGTCTCAGGCATCAACGCCCCTGCCCACCCCTAAATGGGAATACTGGCAAGAGATGTGGGGCTATCACTGGCAGAGCTGCTCATTAGAAATGTTTGGGCAGGGCCAAATGTTTCCTCCTTTAACTGCTGGAATACTACTCCTCATCTTCTGTTTCCAATCACCTTCTCTTCACCTTCTCAGGAACCCAATTCTCTGTCACGCCATCAAGGTTCTTGACTGCATAAAACATGAGGGTTCTGAGGCATCAGGGATGGCTGTGAAGCCCCGGCACCCCCTCTCCACCGTGCACCCCATAGCACACTCGGCAGCCACACGCACCCACACACACTCACACATCCACGTCGCACAAGTTGCAGTGCAGGTCTTCAATGACATGTGCGTGCTGGCTTCGGTTGAAGATGGGCAGGGGCCCCGCATAGCTCTTGTCTCGTACGTTGGCATCTGCTGGATCGATGGAGACGGCGGTCAGGTGCACCACAAGGTGGCCGGCAAAGATGGCGCCCATGCACTGGCCCAGCAGGTTAAAGACTCACTCCGCACTCTGCCAGCTGGGAGTCCTACCCCACTCCTTGCAGCCAGAGAACTCCCCACTGCCATGCCAGCCTGCTTTGTGCAGATTCTCTGCCTGTGCCACCTCCTACCTCCAGTCCCTCAGAGCCTCCTCATCAGACCTCTCCAGGTGACCCCTGTGCCCCAAATGGAAAGGGGGAGGGGCCATCTAGGAAAGGAGTCCACAGCCAGCCAGCAGTGCCTGCTGTCGCAGAGTCCTGGTGCCCAATCGCAGAGTCCTGGCCTCACTGCTCCAGGCCTGGTGCAGGCCCTAGCTGGTGTGACCTCAGGCCGGTTTCTGGTTTCAGATTCCAAATGATGATGTGAGACTGAAAGAGATCAACCCCACCTAAGGCCCAAGAACCTGAAGTTTAAAGTTTGCTTATCTTGCTTTCATAGGAAGTCACTTCCAAGAGGGATGCAGCCATCCCCCTTTTCAGTAGCTGGGCCAGATGGAGAACCCCTTGCAGACAGGGGCTCGGACACTTGCTACCTCCCCTACCAAGAATCTAGGCACTTGGAGTCCTGGGCTGAGTGTCTGGGATGGCCTGCTATGTTCAGGGCCTGGCCAGGGGCAGCATGGCTAGTCTCTGAAGCTGAAACACAGCTCTTCCAGGACCTATCTGCTCAATGACTGGGCCAAATGCAGGAGACAAGTTTGCTGACAATTTGCTACAAAGTCTGATGTGTAAAAATTCACCCATAGATTCCACCCAGGCAGCCATCCACTCTCCCTCCCTTGATCCCACCTGCTTCAGCCCAAAATTGCACTCATCCTCTTGCTAGCCAGGCAGATATCATCCCTCCATCATTCATGCTCTACCCATCATCCATCTGCCATCCTTCATTCATCAGCTGTCCAATCTCTTTTCCTCCCTTCCTTCTCCTCCCAGCAGCCAAATTTCTCTAAATATCCGCATAAACCAGGCTCCGCCCTAGTGTGCCACAGCACAGCTGAGAGAGACAATCCCGTGGCCATCACTGCCCCTTCTATCCCTATGGCCAAGTCTTCATCTCTTGCCTGTGCCACTCTATAGCTTCCCAACTCTCCCCTCCTGAGTTCCCTTGAGTCTATGCTTCACACGGTCGCAGAGAAAGTTTTTAAAAGCTCAGACCCAAAGCCCTCTCTGCTTGCTTGTACTCCTATAGTGGGTCTCAAGAGCTCTCTGGCTGAAATTCACTCCTCTGCTCGGTGCCAAGGTCCCTTTCCTCTGGCTCCTCCCAAACCTCTCTGCTATCACCAGCTACTGTGCTCACCATGCCATCCACTCTTCAGACACTGAATGAGGGCAAACATTTACTCCCTGCCTGCCCCAACTCTTCTCCTGCCTCACTCCTGGAGTCATTCATTCAGCTGTCTACTGAGGTCTTTTGTTGTGATAGGCACTGAGGGATATGGCAGGGGCAAGAGTCCCCAGCACTGAAGAGACTGCAGTCTGGTGGAAAACATGGATTTTTTTTTTTACGGAATCTTGCTCTGTTGCCCAGGCTGAAGTGCAATGGCGTGATCTTGGCTCACTGCAACCTCTGTCTCCCAGGTTCAAGTGATTCTCCTGCCTCAGCCTCCTGAGTAGCTGGGATTACAGACACTTGCCACCACGCCTGGCTAATTTTTGTATTTTTAGTAGAGTCAAGGTTTCACCATGTTGGCCAAGGCTGGTCTCGAACTCCTGACCTCAGGTGATCTGCCCGCCTTGGCTTCCCAAAGTGCAGGGAGTACAGGCCACCACTCCCACCCAAAAACATGGCTATCAATCAAATAATGGGTTAATTACAATGAAGAAAGTTCATGGATATGCCAGTTTGTAACCAAGTGACCTCATCTAGTCTGAAGGGGTCCAGAAGGCTTACCTGAGGAAGTATTGTCTCAGCTGAGACTTAGAGAAGAATGGATTCCAGGGACCTGGCAGGTAAAGAGGAAAGGGGGCCTGGCTAGGGACTGTGGCTGTGGGGAACATGTGGAGTGCCAACCAGCAGTTTGGCTGAAGTGTGCCTCCAGCTCACGGCTGTCTTGCACGAATGCAAGAATGAGGGTCTGTGTGGCCAATTTCTGGCTTCTCAAAAGGAACCAGAAGTCTGGATTTTTATGAGATCTCTCAATGTTTAAATGTTAAGGAAATAAATAATTTTAAAAACATGCCTATAGAAGGAACATTAAGATCTGTGCATTTTCTTTGTTAACTATCCTTCAATTCAAAAAAACAAATCTGCAGGCTGGACTCACCCATGGGCTTCTAGTTCTCGACCTCTAATTTAGCTGGGTGTTGGGAGCAGGGAGAGAGGCAAGGGGATTCCAGGCAGAGACCAGTGCCGTGGAAACAGAAGAGGACAGGGAAAATCACATCAGAGGAAATGGGGGAGAGAGGCAGAGTCCAGAATGCAGAGCCTTGATGCCATGTTGAGCCTCATTTCTTTATTTTTTTTGAGACAGGGTCTCTCTCTGTTGCCCAGGCTGGAGTGCAATGGCACTATCTCGGCTCACTGCAGCCTTCGCCCTCCGGGTTCAAGTGATTCTCCAGCCTCAGCCTCTCAAGTAGCTGGGATTACAGGCGTGTGCCACCACGCCTGGCTAATTTTTGTATTTTTAGTAGAGACAGAGTTTCGCATGTTGGCCAGGCTGGTCTGGAACTCCTGACCTCAGGTGATCCATCCGCCTCCGCCTCCCAACATGCTGGGATTACAGGTGTGAACCATCACACCGGGCCTTGGGCCTCACTGCTTACGGCAGGAAGAAACCATTAGAAAGCCTGGAGCTGGGGCGCAACATTATCAGATTTGGTTTTTGGAAAGGGCAGGAATGTAGATGGGTTGGCCGAGGTGAGAGCGTGTGTGGGGGACCCGTTTAGAAACTCAGCGGTCATCCAGGGAAGAGAGGCAGCTGGCAGTGGCAGAAACCGGGAACCAATTCAATGTCTATTTAGGAGGCAAAATCAACAGGGCTGGATGACTGACTGGATTTAAGTGAGGTAGGAAGGGGGAGAGCCAAGAGCATGTGGGGAGAGCTGGGGTGGGAAAGGAGGGGAGCGACAGGCCTCGAGTGTGCCTGTGGACACACGGTGATGCTGGTGTGGGTGGCCTCCACCTGCCCTCACAATCTGCTGAACTCACCATGTGGCGTGATCACCATCTCCAGTGCACCAGCCTTCCCTTCAGCCAGGGGCCCAGCACCCTAGGGCTCAGCTTGCATCCCTAAGGCCCAGGCCAGTTCCAGGCCCAAGGTGGGTACCTGGTACCCACTATGATCCTACCTCACTCCTCAGGGGACCTGAGAGAGCCTGCAGAAAGGAGAAGGCTCTGATGGAAGGAAGGAGAGCGTACAGGCTGGTCAGGCGCAAACCAGGTGGCTCTGTGAGCTTCCGCATTGCCCAGAGCAGACAAACCCTGAATGTAGAGACAGAGTCCTCAAACCGTCCCTCTCATGACAGTCAGGCTTCCTGAGCAGCCCATCTGGCCTCACTGGGCGCCTGCTATGTGATCTTAGGAAGTCATGGAACCTCTGTGCCCAGCTTCTTCATTAGGAAATGGGGAGAATACCTCCTTACAGGATGACTATGAGGATCAAATGAGATCATTCATGTAAAGTGGCTGACGCAGGGCCTGGCACATGTAAGGGTTTAATAAATGCTACTGCCTTCTGTTTATCATGATTTGCTTTGCTTCTACTTGTCCAAGCCATGGGGTTGTTTATCTGGTTAATCTGGTTTCCCAGGTATCCTGATGGCAGAAACTCAGGTGATCCCTAGTGAGGGGCGTGTCCATTCCAGATCACAGGAGGAATGTCCCATGATGCATTCCCATGTCCCATGACTTAACAGCACTAAGGCCTGTTGGTCACCTCAGGGAAAGTCCAGTTTTCCATTCACAGAACTGATGACCAGCCCCTGGGCTCTAGTGAACAAGAAGCCCCCAGATGGCACTGCTGTGTCTAAGGAAGACAACCTCCTCTAGGGTCCCCCTCCACACACCTACCCTGTCACTCGCCAGCCCAGGGCTTTGTGGTTTCCCAAAAGAGCACGTTCACGTTTGTGGCTTAATGAATTCTAGTGCTCACATATATCTTAAAGTGCTCCTGGTAGGAGCCTTCCCATCAGACAGAGGATGAGGCTGAGACCCACAGAGCTGGCAGGAGTTGCTCGGTCCTGTGCAGCTCTGAAGGTGCTGAGCAGGGACAGAGCTCACCACAGGCTCGATGTCCCAGGCTTTCAGGCTTATCCCTGCCAACCACCCTTAGGCCGCCCTCACCTTCCCCACAGGAGTCATCTTCGTGAAGGACACTCAGATAGGAACTCTCCGGAAAGGAGCACAGAGATGCCTGCTTCACTGCAACCCCCTGGCTTTGCAGCCACATCCTCTGCTCCTGGGGGCTGTGGCCAGGGACGGGGCAATCACACCACTGGGCTCAGGCAAGTCTGGGTTTGTCACTATTCCCAGGAGCCTCCGGGGTATCTCCATCCCGTCTCTTGTCACATTCAACCTCACTCTAAAAGGGTCTGATTTACAGAATCAATGTGCCCATAAACAGTCCTGGGCACAGTCTGTCCATAAATAAAACCATATTTTAAAGGCACCAGGACACTTACCATGTAAAAGAATTCTATGGTGACTCTTTGAAAAGTGAAAAATTCTTTGATAAATGGACTAATTACTCCCTACTTCGTCCTTTGTTCAGCTTTGAACACAGTGTCAGGATGGTTTGAGGCTCCTCCTTCTACAACTGCTCCTGTGGTGCCTCCGCGGACAGGATTCACATCCTTGCAGGGCTTGACATGCTCCTAGGTATTTTAGGCATGCCCACTCACCCTATCAGGGGGAGAGGTCAGGTGGAGGCTGGAGGCCAGGATGGGAAGCAGCAGGTCCCCAGGACTGGGCCCACCCTGCTCTGCTCCCCTGACTGTGCTCCCCGAGGCTCTGAACCTGGCTTTGGGCCTCCGCTGTGCCGGCCATCCTTTGCCTCCCCACTTCCACACACCAGCCCCATGCTTTCCCAAGGATACAGCGTAGCCAGAAGGCACCCAGTGGTGAGGCAGGAGGGGAACAAGGACCCCAAAGCCGATCACAGCAAAGAAGAGGTACAGCAGCCAGGCCACAATCTGGAGCGGGTGAGGGGGCCAGCTCCACCCATTCCGGCGGGATCGCTGGCCCTGCAGCTCGGGGGAGGGTCCGCTGGGCTGTGCCGGCGGCGCTGTCCACACACTCTTCTCAGGGGCAGTCTTGTTGGAGGGCTTGTTGCAGATGTTCATCTCCAGAGGGAGAAACAGTAGAGAGAGCATTAGCCCAAGAGGCCGGGCTGGAGCCCAGGGCCGGTGTCTGCAGCCAGGTTTCAGCAAGGGGGAGTAGGCTGCGACATAAAACCATCTCCCAGCTACTCTGCCGGGGATACTGGCATCCTAGCACGATAGAGACGGGCAGTGGGGAAAGGCTGGGAGTGGGCTGCTGTCTCAAAGCCCAAAGCAAACCCTGGCCCCAGCCTGGCCAGGACAAAGTAAGAGGACCCAGGGTTTATTCAGGACACAGTGCTGCTGCCTGTTACTCAAAGTGCTGTCTCCACAGCCATCGCAGTTAAACCCAATAAGACATGTTCTCATCTGGTAACAATATCAGGCCGGGGCCAGAGTGATGAGAACACATGCTGATTCTGTTAGGATTAGTCACCTCTTTCCTGAGGTCCAAATCCAAGTGTCAGACACCCCCGCTATCCTTTGCTCAGGGAAACGGGGAATGGGGCGCCCAGAAGGAGGATCTGCCCTCAGCCCCACAGTGGACACAAAATCCCTTTAGGACTGGGGGAGCCTGAAGCTCTGCCCCATGCTGCCTGAGGGTTCTTGGCTGGGGAGGGGCCAGCTCACGAGAGGGAGGGAAGGATTCCTCTTTAGTTCCCTTCAGCAGCAGAAATGACCATGTTTCTCTAAGTAAATCTGGGCCTGGTGTACAGTTTTGTACAGAAAGCTGGGCTAATGCTCTTGGACTCAGAGGCAGACCACCAGATGGCATCAACCACCCCCTCCACCTGCCACCCTCTAGCCAGACAGCTGGCCCAGTGGCCAGAGATGAAGGCCAGGCAGGAAGGGGTGGGCTACAGAAGGAAGACCCCCAACCCCAAGATCTGGGCCCAAGATGGGACAACAGCCCAGGCAGGCAGCGCCATACCTGGGAGACAGGCCAGCTCTGCACTCGTGGTGGGAAAGCCAGGAGCTGGGGCTAAAACCCTGGTAGCTAAACTCTCCTTTCAGGAGCCTCTGCCCATGAGACAGGGAACCTAAGCAGAAAGGATGCCGCAGACCCCCACTCAGTGCATCTGCCTGGATCACCTTTCTCACTTCTCAGTCCACAGAATGAGGCTTGATCTTCAGAGCCAACTGCAAGCATTGCCTCATCCAGGAAGCTTTCCCTGACTCCCTGAGTCAGGGGGTCCTTATGCTAAGCCATTGTTGGGCAAATTACTTTGCCATTTGGGATGCTTTGCAATCCCCATGTCTGCCCCCATTAGGACAGCTTTCCCCAAAGGCAGCAAATGTGCTGGGTGGGGTTTATTCATCTCTGTCCCCTATGTCCCTTCCCCCAGGCACCCAGAATTGTACCTTGTACACAGTAGATCCTCAGTAAATGTTTGCTGACTTGAAAACATCTGAAATAAAAGGAAACGTGGGCACAGTAAATGGTATGGAATCCTGGTCCACCCTAAGCCATCTGGCCCGCTTTCCCCTGCCTTCCATCCATCCAGCCCTGCCCGCTTTCTGCAGGCTCGTGAACCCATGCCTCCCGCAGCCCATCTCCCGCTGCTGGCTGGCTACCACCCTGACTGCCAGACACTCACTCCTAGCCACCCTGCCCTTCAGCCAACCTGAGGCTCAGAGCTTCCTGCAGGCCAAGCCTAGCATTATTTGAAGTGACCTCTGAGTAGTCCCCCAGAGGTCTCAAAACTAAATGGAGGACTTAAGTTTTTCCCCAGGGATTCAGCTGGTGGTTTTTTGGTTTTGGGTTTAGGGTTTTTTTTCTTCTGAGATAGGATCTTGCTCTGTTGCCCAGGCTGGAGTGCAGTGGCACCATCACAGCTCACTGTAACCTTGACCTCCTAGACTCAAGTGATCCTCTCACCTCAGCCTCCAGAGTAGCTGCAACTACAGGCATGTACCTGGCTAATTATTTTATTTTATTTTATTTTATTTGTAAAGACCGGGTCCCACTATGTTGCCCAGGGTGTTCTCCAACTCTTGGACTCTGGACTCAAGAGATCTGTCAGCCTTGGCCTCCCAAAGTGCTGGGATTATAGGCGTGAGCCACTGTGCCTGGCCTTGCTTTGTTTTGTTTTGTTTTGTTTTTTGTTTTTGAAACAGGGTCTTGTGCTGTCACCCAGGCTGGAGTGTCGTGGCACAATGATAGCTCACTGAAGCTTCAATTTCCTGGACTCAAGTGATCCTCCTGCCTAGCCTCCTGAGTAGCTAGAACTACAGTGGCATGTCGCCATGCCTAGCTCTTTATTTTTTATTTTTGCAGAGACAGTCTCACTATGTTGCCCAGGCTGGTCTCCAACTGCTGGGCTCAAGCGATCTTCCCACCTTATCCTCCCAAAGCACTGAGATTACATGCATGACCCAGTATCCCAGCCCTCACTTTCTTTTGCAAGTCCCCCAAAGATAGCAAATCTTTGTCCTTGTATTGTGGAAATGTCAAAGGTCATCAGGTCAAGCCCTGTGAATACAGTTGGGCTAGATGGTTCTGCTCTGGGGCCAATCCCTGTGGCTTGCACATCAGCTCTCCAGTGACACCATCACCAGCGCAACTACTTTGAAAGGAATCCATGAATTTGGAATTCCTAAAGTCTGGCTCTCCTTTTGCCATCCCCAAACCTAAACAACCCTACACCTTGCAGGAGTTTCCAAAGAGCAAAACAGAGGCATGCGGCTGATCCGGCCCCACTGCCTGGCAGTGGCCATAGGTACCCCCAGCGCTGCTGTATCCTGGACTCCTGAGGCAGGAGGAGTCACCATCTGCAGCCAGGCACCTGCCACATACAGCCTTGGGGATGCCTCTGACTCCAAATCAGGATACCCCCTTGGTCCAGGAAGTGAGCACTTGTTTGAGGCTGTGGAAATGGGGATGGTGCTGCTGGGCAGACCTCCCTCGGCAGAGGCAGCATTCTGGAATAGACGCCCAGGCTGGCCCACAGGCATGCCCAGGCCAGCCCACTCTTCACTGACAAAATTTTCTTTTTTTCTTTTTTTTCTTTTTGAGACGGAGTCTCGCTCTGTTGCCAAGGCTGGAGTGCAGTGGCGCGATCTCGGCTCACTGCAAGCTCCGCCTCCCGGGTTCACGCCATTCTTCTACCTCAGCCTCCCGAGTAGCTGGGACTACAGGTGTCTGCCACCATGCCCGGCTAATTTTTTGTATTTTTAGTAGAGACGGGGTTTCATCGTGTTAGCCAGGATGGTCTCGATCTCCTGACCTCGTGATCCACCCGCCTCGGCTTCCCAAAGTGCTGGGATTACAGGCGTGAGCCACCGCGTCCAGCCCGCTGACATTTTCTCCTGCAGAGCTAGTGGCCACAAATTCCTTCGGCCCAAAAGATTTTGATTAAAAGGGCTGGGAGGTCGGAGAGAATCCAATTATGGGGCTTCCAGGCCATGGATGGGACCAAACACTGTCACCAGACCCCGGGACTTCTCTGGCTGTTGCTCCCCTCTCAGCACTTCTCTAGGAGACCAGATTGAGAGACATGTGGCTCTGTTCCCCGACAACGTGGCCAGCTGGCACCCTCTGACCTTGGCCAGTCAGCACTTATCGGGGCCCAGCCTGCGTACTTAGGATGTAAACACAGATGAAACCAGGTGCATGCCCTCAGGGGCTTCTTTTCTGGGACCCAGACAGACACAAACAGAAACCAGGGCAGTGGTGAATGGGCATTTTGGCAGCCCATGCAAGGGCCAGCCATCCAATGTGACAGAACACAGGGTGGACAGGTTGCGGGGGCGGGGGTTAGGGGAAGGAGGGAGGGGAGGGCAGGACCCAGTGAGAGATGGGACCGAAGAAGTTGCAGGGCTCAGATCTCAGGGGGCCTAGAAGGCCACGTGAGGACACATGGGCACTGCTGGAAGAGCCACAGGGAGGCAAAGCAGGCTTAAGGCATGAGAGTGACCCAATAGCTCAGGGTGCTTTGGAAAACTTTCTAGCCAGTGGGGAGAAGGGCACGGGGGAAGCGGTACCACAGCAGCCCAGCAGGGAGCCCAGCAGCTCTGTGCTTTGGGAGAAGCTGGTCAGAAGGTGGTGGTGAAGCCCACAAGCTCCCTGCTGCCCACCTGGCTACCCCCAGATGCATCTTTGCAGGGTTCAGAGGTACACGGCCTTGGGAAAACATTCTTCATGTATCTTCTACTGCCACAGAACAAACCATAGAGAGTCAGGCTGGTGGTGATAAAGGGAAGACAGGAAGGAGGGGGTCCTGTGGCCTGGGTAAGCCAAGGACCCACCTGGCTACTGAGGCAGGCAGGAGGGGCTGTGGAGGCCCCTCCCTTGTCCCCCGCAAGATGGAAGCCATTGGCAGGATGACAGTAATCTGTTCACGTTAACATTCACTTGCAAAAAGCCTTAGATGGTGTTTTCAGTATAAGGTTAGGCTACCTTAATTTATTATTATTATTATTATTATTATTATTATTTTAAGACTGAATCTCGCTCTGTCGCTCAGGCTGGAGTACAGTGGCTCGATCTCAGCTCACTGCAACCTCCACCTCCCAGGTTCAAGCAATTCTCCTGCCTCAGCCTCCTAAGTAGCTGGGATTACAGGCGTGCACCACCACATCCAGCTAATTTTTATATTTTTAGTAGAGACAGAGTTTCACCATGTTGGCCAGGCTGGTCTCAAGAACTCCTGACTTCAGATGACCCACCTGGCTCGGCCTCCCAAAGAGCTGGGATTACAGGCGTGAGCCACCATGCCCTGCCTGGGTACCTTAATTTATACTTCATTTGGGTACCTTAATTTATACAATTCATTTGACTTAATTTAAGTCAAAGGAAGGAAATCTTAACATTTTAAGTTCTCATTATGAACTACATTATAGTTACATGAGTGACCACTTTCCTCATGCCCACCTCTGCTACCAACAAAAAAAAAACATTTAGGAATATTGTTCTGAAATTCTTGCCTAGCACTCTCAAAGAAACCACACCAAGGTGAAAAGTACCAGCCCTGGAGAGACTGTGGGCATCCCTGGATTGTTGCAAGCTACCTGAGGGCTTCAGAATCAAGTCAATTACTAAAGAGGGTTTCCCAGGAAAGGACAAGGAACTGGGAGGGCAGGGTGATGGGGTCAGAGGAGAAAGGGAGAGGGTTGAAGCAGACACTTGGAGGGCCCTGCACCACCAATGGGGAGACACAGGTGGGACCAAAGGAAGAGGGCTGAGCCTGGAGTAGAGCCCTTTTCTGGTTCCCGAGCTGCCACTCACAGACTGAGGAACATTGAGGCAAATGTCACAGATTCACTTCTTTGGATCTCTTCTATACTCATCTTTAAACAAAGTTCAGTGAAGCAATTTGGCAATGTCCAAGTCTGGCGAAACTTTAGAACATAGATGCCCTTTGACCCAGACATTCCATTCCTAGGTATTTATCTTATACATATACTCACAAAGATTTATTGCAGCATTATTTGAAATAATAAAGGACAAAAGGGCCGGGCGCGGTGGCTCAAGCCTGTAATCCCAGCACTTTGGGAGGCCGAGACGGGCGGATCACGAGGCCAGGAGATCGAGAGACGATCCCGGCTAACACGGTGAAACCCCGTCTCTACTAAAAAATACAAAAAAACTAGCCGGGCGAGGTGGCGGGCGCCTGTAGTCCCAGCTACTCGGGAGGCTGAGGCAGGAGAACGGCGTAAACCCGGGAGGCGGAGCTTGCAGTGAGCTGAGATCCGGCCACTGCACTCCAGCCTGGGTGACAGAGCAAGACTCCGTCTCAAAAAAAAAAAAAAAAAAAAAAAAAAAAAAAATAAAGGACAAAAGATAATATAAATAAACTATGGCACATCCACACAATAAAATGCTAGGCAGCATCAAAAATAACGGATAAAAAAAGAAAAAAAATGGATGAAGTAATCTTTGATACACAATTAAGTGAAAAAGCAAGACGAAGAACACTTGTAGATGGAGCTACCAAGTGAATAAAAACAAAGAGGGCCGGGCGCAGTGGCTCATGCCTGTAATCTCAACACTTTGGGAGGTCGAGGAGGGTGGATCACTTGAGGTCAGGAGTTTGTGATCAGCCTGGTCAACCTGGTGAAACCCCATCTCTACTAAAAGTACAAAAATTAGCTGGGCGTGGTGGCACGGGCCTGTAGTCCCAGCTACTCAGGAGGCTGAAGCAGGAGAATCGCTGGAACCTGGGAGGCGGAGGTTGCAGTGAGCTGAGATCGCGCCACTGCACTCCAGCCTGGGCAACAGGCGAGACTCTGTCTCAAAAAAAAAAAGTGGGGGAGGGGGACAGATGCATAAACATCTACATTCCTATATGCATAGATTCTCTCCAGAATGAAATGCAAGAAACCAAACACAGGAGCAGCCCCTAGAAAGGAGATCTAGTGGTCCAAGAGCTGTAAGACAGAAATTGCATTTCCTGGTACTCCTTCGTGTATATATATATGTATATATATATTTATTTGTTTATTTATTTTATCATGAGCATGTACTGCTTTTGAAAACAAAAAGTATGTCAAATAATAAACGATTGGGGGATGTCACCTCCTGCCTTCCAGGCCCCATTGAGCTGCCTTGTGGACGAAACACACTCGTGTGATCTAGAGCCCTGTTATCATGCCAGACAAAGAATTCCTACCTAACAAGGGTGCTTGGTTTTAGTGAAATGTTTTCTCACTCTTGAAAGCAATTCTAAGATGCTCACCTACAGAGCTATGAGGAAAAGCCATAGAACTTCCTATGAGCTGTTAGGGTTCTTGTCAAAGCTGGAATCACACAACCAGACAGCACAACAGAGGAGCTGCTAGGCAGGACCTGCTTCATCCTTGGCCAGAGCCAACTCAGCTACCAGAGACTCCCAGAACCCAAAGGGAAAGTGCACTCCACAGAAAACTTTTGTTCCCATGCATCTTGTCCTTTTGCTAGAGGATTTGTGGTTTCCATGTGAGAGATTTTCTTTTTTCTTTCTTTTCTTTTTTTTTTTTGAGACAGAGTCTGGGGCTCTGTCGCCCAGGCTGGAGTGCAGTGGCGGGATCTCGGTTCACTGCAAGCTCCACCTCCCGGGTTAAAGCCATTCTCCTGCCTCAGCCTCCTGAGGAGCTGGGACTACAGGCGCCCACCACCACGCCCAGCTTATTTTTTTGTATTTTTAGTAGAGACGGGGTTTCATTGTGTTCGCCAGGATGGTCTCGATCTCCTGACCTCATGATCTGCCTGCCTCGGCCTCCCAAAGTGCTGGGATTACAGGCGTGAGCCACTGCGCCCAGCCCATGAGCCACCACGCCTTGCCAGTGTGAGAGATTTTCTTCTCTTTTCTTCACTTTTTTTTTTAAGACGGAGTTTCACTCTTGTTGCCTGGGCTGCAGTGCAGTGGTGCGATCTTGGTTCACTGCAGCCTCCGCCTCCTGGATTCAAGTGATTCTCCTGCCTCAGCCTCCCGAGTAGCTGGAATTACAGGCGCCAGCCGCCACGCCCGGCTACTTTTTAATTTTTTTTTTTTAGTAGAGATGGGATTCTACCATGTTGGCTGGGCTGGTCTCGGCCTCTTAGCCACGGCGCCCAGCCTACCCCTTTTTTTTTTTTAGAGACAGGATCCTTCTTTGTCGCCCAAGCTGGAGTGCAGTGGTATGATCATCGTTCACTGTAACCTCAAACTCATGGGTTTATGCAAGCCTCCCACCTTGGCCTCCCAAAGGGCTGGGATTACAAGTATAAACCACCATCCAGTCGGGAGATTTTCTATCTATGAGTATTCCTAAATGAACTTTGTTTCCCCCAGGATCTGCTTTTGAAATAATTTTCACTGAGATTTAACAGATGCCCAGTTGAACTACCTAAAGAGAAGCTAGACAGAAAACATTTCACGGTACACAGTGCTTTACAGCACAAAAGTCATTTACAAAAGATTGTGGGATTTTTTTGTTTTTTTTTTTTGTTTTTTTGAGACGGAGTCTCGCTCTGTCGCCCAGGCTGGAGTACAGTGGCCGGATCTCAGCTCACTGCAAGCTCCGCCTCCCGGGTTCACGCCATTCTCCTGCCTCAGCCTCCGGAATAGCTGGGACTACAGGTGCCCGCCACCTCGCCCAGCTAGTTTTTTGTATTTTTTAGTAGAGACGGGGTTTCACCGTGTCAGCCAGGATGGTCTCGATCTCCTGACCTCGTGATCCACCCGTCTCGGCCTCCCAAAGTGCTGGGATTACAGGCTTGAGCCACCGCGCCCGGCCAAAAGATTGTTTAGGGACGAGTACTTCGTTTATTAAAATTCCCCACAGGTGCCAGAGAAGTCTCTGACCTTAAAATTCTGAGAAGCAGCTCTAGTTCAACTAACGGATGCACATCACACAACTACCGAAAACTAAACTGGAACTTCAAGCTGTTCTCAAAGACCTCTCCAGTCACTGGTCTCAGAGGTAGCTGGGCCCTCGCTTTCTCTCTCATAACAGGCGGAAGTCTGATGCTGGTCGGACGCAGTGGCTCATGCCTGGAATCCCAGCACTTTGGGAAGCCGAGGCAGGCGGATCACCTTAGGTCAGGAGTTCGAGAACAGCCTGGCCAACATGGTGAAACCCCGTCTCTACTAAAAATACAAAAATTAGCTGGGCATGGTCGTGGGCGCCTGTAATCCCAGCTACTCAGGAGGCTGAGGCAGGAGAATCTCTTGAACCCAGGAGGTCGAGCTTGCAGTGAGCCGGGATCACGCCGTTGCACTCCAGCCTGGGCAACAGAGCGAGATTCTGTCAAAAAAAAAAAAGGTCTGATGCCATGGCAAGAAAAGCTTGAAACCCCAATTATTCCTGAGTCGACATGGTTTGCAAACATTTTCTGTGCCATTCTCCTCCTGAAGCAACCATTGCAAATTGGGATACAAATGAAGCCAAGGAAAGGGGACAAGAAGGAGGGAGTAACACAAAATAGAAACAAGGCCAATGAAGAGAGGCCAAGGTTGTTGATTTCAACCAGGAAATCAACTCATATGACTGCAGGAGCCAGCCTTGGGGAACACCCAGCGCAACAGTCATTAAGAACAAAGTTGTGACAGAACAAAGAAAGAAAAACAAAAACAAAACAAAACAATCTGGCTAATTAAGCACCACTGTTGCTTTTACTGCATCTCATGGTGATTATCTGTTTATAAACCCATCTCCCACAGTGAACCAACAGTTCCACAAAAGCAGAGACCACCCCTCAGCCCAGGTCTGAACCCAGCTCTCCTTCAGTAAAGGAAGTCAAGCCACTTTTTTACCATCTCTGCTGCCATTACCCCAATCCAAACCACCAGCATTGCTCTCCTACAGTGTTTGCATGATAATAACCAACACCAGCATTTAGAGGGCACTTATTCTGTGCCAGGCACTGCTTTAGTGGAATTCACTCATTCAATTTTCACAGAGCTCTAAGGAAGGTCCTATCATTTCCAACCATTCTTGCAGATCCCTGTAGTCATTGATTTCAGATGTGACTGGCCTCTCACTTTCTCATAAAAAACACGCAGAACATCCACCCCCATCATGAGAACACTGAGGCTCAGAGGCACTAAATGAGTTATTTTAGGAGGCACAGCTAGATTGGCAGAACTAGGATGGCCCTCAGCTGACTTCCCAGTATGTCCTGTCACAACCATGCTGTTCAGCAGCCAGAGTGAAATGAGCTTTTCAAATGTGAAACTCATCCAAACTCTTCTTTGGGAGGCCGAGGAGGGTGGATCACCTGAGGTCAGGAGTTCAAGTCCAGTTCAAGTCCATGTTAGTCCCACCAGGGCTAACATGTTGAAACCCCGTTTCTACCAAAAATACAAAAATTAGCTGGGTGTGGTGGCAGGCACCTGTAACACCAGACTCGGGAGGCTGAGGCAGGAGAATCGTTTGAACCCGGGAGGCGAAGGTTGCAATGACCCGTGATCGTGCCACTGCACTCCAGCCTGGACGACAAGAGCAAAACTCCGTCTCAAAGAAAAAAAAGGAAAAAAATTAAAAACTCTTCCCATGGTTTCCTTTTAAAACAGACCCTCCATGACCAACCCCTAGATTTCAATACCAGAGAGCCCAACCCGACCTGAAATCACTTTAGTCATATATGACACCTGCTTCCCAGCCACCTTCCTTAATGCTCTGGGTTCTGGAGACGGGCCACGTCTGTTCGGAGTCCTCTGTGCCCACGCCTGGCACAGAGCCTGGCAAAGAGTGAGCGCTCAAGGAAGATCTGTGAACTTGATGCATGCTAAAAGGAAGCCCCGCGCTCTGCCCGGGCCCTGGAACTCAGGCCACCAGCTCCAGGCGGAAGTGAGCCCAAAGCTGGCCAGGCGGCAGCATCCGCGACCCCGTGGCTCAAGCCAGGCTCCGAGGTGAGAAACCGGGCGGGGACTCCTCACCTGCGCGCCGCGACGGCCGTGCCAGATGGGCCCTGCCAAGGTCAGCCAGAGGTTCGGGCCCCACGCCTGGCCTTCCACCCTCCCCGGGGCAGCCGCGCTTCAGACCCTCGCGGTAGGGACGGTCCCCGGGACTGGGCGGCAACGCGCCCGGGAGCGGGGCCCCATTCCGGACGGAGACTGGGCCGGCGAGTCCTCGGGCTCTGGCTCTGGCTCCAGCTCCGGCTCCAGCTCCGGTTCCAGCAGGCTTGCGGGGCGGCCAGGCCAGGCCCAGACTGGATGGGCTTCGTCCGGCGCTGGGCCCGTTCCCCTGACAACGGCGCGGGCTACGGCGCCCCACAGCGGCCAAACCGCGCTGCGTCACTCCGCGCCGGTCCTCCGGCCGAGGCGGGGCTTGCCAGGGGCCCCCTTGGTGCCCCAGTCGGACCCTTCCCAGATTCTGCCTAACCTTTCGTCTAGAAAATCCACTTTTCCCTACTCCCGAGTCACAGCTTGTCTTCCTGAAATCCTAACATCTCAAACGCGCCCCCTTCCAGTTTCTATCCTGAGACCATCGCTCTCAAGAAGAGACCTCCCCCAACCCCAATCAACCTTTACACTTCGATGAGCGTATGTTCTGGAACATCCATGATATCGTGATCCTTCCGGGAGTTTACAGGTTAAGGGGCAAACAGATCTAGACAAATAAATTACACCACTAAAAATGCAGGTACCCCAGAATATAAAGCAAGAAGTGTAAGAGCTTAAAATAAGTAGCACAAAATATCTCATTTATTTATTGCCTTTAAATTAAGCAAAAATCAAACCCCAATCTTCCAGGCTGATGGGAAACTCAATCTTTTTTTATTTTTCAAACTAGTCTCTGTTGCCAAGGCTGGAGTGCAGTGGCACAGTCACGGCTCTCTGCAGCCTCGAACTCCTGGGCTCAGGTGATCCTCCTGTCTCAGCCTCCAGAGTAGCTGGGACTACAGGCGAGCACCACCACGCCCGACTAATTTTCGCATTTTTTTGTAGAAACGGGGTTTTGCCGTGTTGCCCAGGCTGGTCTCGAACTCCTGAACTCAAGCGACCCACCATCTCAGCCTCCAAAAGTGCTAGGATTACAGGCGTGAGCCCCTGCCCGGCCGGGAAATTCAGTCTCAGTCTCCACTGGACTCCTCTTAGCTAGGTAATCCCAAAGGACTCATGTTTTCCTACAGCAAAAAACAACCAAAAACAAACAAGCAAAAAACCCTCTGGTCAGGGTTTTGTCTGGTACTGAGGCCACAGCCATTGCCCCCGTCCACAAAGATGTTCAGGTTTGGGCTCTATAAGGCCATCCCTGATGAGGCCCCTGCCTCTCCCTGGGGCTGCCAGGGACAGACACCTGCTTCCTCTGCTCCAGGACCTGCAGCCTCACTTCCCTTTCTTTACCTGGGAGACTTCCCTGCTAACTTGGTTTCCCTAAAAGTCCCCTCTCCCCTTCTCCTTGGGGACACTCAGAATGGAATCTTCTATGAGCTCAGGCTTTCTCAAAAGACAGGAAGACACTTTGTCTTCTGCTATCTGTCCTGTGCACATCTCCAAGGCAGATATGACAGATAGGGAGAGAAAACATCCTTATCTCTAAAATGTATAAGTCACAAGCATACTTATTGTATGTTTTATTAGGCAACATAACTACTGCTCTGTCACATGACAGGTGCGTGGGTCCTTGTGCAAGTGACATAACCTATTACTTAAATTCTTGTTTTTAAGATTGATAAACTCAAACTCAGTGTGGGATAAATATCAATGCTATTCTGGCTTCAGAATACAAGCTAACTCCTTAATTCTTATCTGGAATTGGAAAACATCGGGTCAAACAGATATTATGACCCAGAAATCAAGATGGAGGATGAGGCTGGATGCAGTGGCTCACACCTGTAATCCCAGCACTTTAAGGAGGCTAAGGCAGGAAAATTACTTGAGGCCAGGAGTTTGAGACCAGCCTGGGAAACATAGAGAGACTCCCATCTCTACAAAAGATGAAAAAAATAGCCAGGCCTGGTGGCCTGTGCCTAGAGTCCCAGCTACTCACGAGGCTGGGGCAGGAGAATAGAATCACTTGAGTTCGGGAGTTCAAGATTGCAGTGAATTACGATCATGCCACTGCACTCCAGCCTGGGTGACAGAGTAAGATCTTATCTCTCACCTGGTCTCAGTGGCTCACGCCTGTAATCCCAACACTTTGGGAGGCCGAAGCAGGTGGATCACGAGGTCAAAAGATCAAGACCATCCTGGCTAACGTGGTGAAACCCCATCTCTACTAAAAGTACAAAAATAAGCCAGGGGTGATGGCACGCACCTGTAGTCCCAGCTACTCGGGAGGCTGAGGCAGGAGAATGACTTGAACCCAGGAGGCGGAGGTTGCGGTGACCCGAGATCGCACCACTGCACTGCAGCCTGGGTGAGAGTGAGACTCTGTCACAAAAAAAAAAAAAAAAAAAAAAAAAGGCCGGGCGCAGTGGCTCAAGCCTGTAATCCCAGCACTTTGGGAGACCGAGACGGGCGGATCACAAGGTCAGGAGATCGAGACCATCCTGGCTAACACGGTGAAACCCCGTCTCCTAAAAAACACAAAAAAACTAGCCGGGTGAGGTGGTGGGCGCCTGTAGTCCCAGCTACTCGGGAGGCTGAGGCAGGAGAATGGCCTGAACCCGGGAGGCGGAGCTTGCAGTGAGATGAGATCCGGCCACTGCACCCCAGCCTGGGCAACAGAGCAAGACTCCGTCTCAAAAAAAAAAAAAAAAAATTCTTATCTCTCTCTCTCTCTTTTTTTTTTTTTGGAGACAGAGTCTCGCTTTGTCTCCCAGGCTGGAGTGCAGTGGCGTGATCTCAGCTCACTGCAACCTCCACCTCCTGGGTTCAGGTGATTCTCCTGCCTCATCTTCCCAAGTAGCTGGGATTACAGTCACCTGCCACCATGCCCAGCCAATTATTGTATTTTTGGTAGAGACAGGGTTTCGTCATGTTGGCCAGGCTAGTCTCAAACTCCTGAACTCAGGTGATCCGCCCACCTCAGCCTCCCAAAGTGCTGGGATTGCAGGCGTGAGCCACTGTGCCCAGTCAGATCATATATCGTTAAAAAATAATAATAATGGCCGGGCGTGGTGGCTCAAGCCTGTAATCCCAGCACTTTGGGAGGCCGAGACAGGCGGATCACGAGGTCAGGAGATCGAGACCATCCTGGCTGACACGGTGAAACCCCGTCTCTACTAAAAAAATACAAAAAACTAGCCGGGCGAGGTGGCGGGCGCCTGTAGTCCCAGCTACTCGGGAGGCTGAGGCAGGAGAATGGCGTGAACCCGGGAGGCGGAGCTTGCAGTGAGCTGAGATCCGGCCACTGCACTCCAGCTTGGGCGACAGAGCGAGACTCCGTCTCAAAAAAAAATAAATAAAATAATAATAATAATAATACATAAATATTTTTTAAAACAAGGCGGGGCCAGGCACAGTGGCTCACACCTGTAATCTGAGCACTTTGGGAGGCTGAGGCAGGCAGATCACTTGAGGTCAGGAGTTTGAGACCAGCCTGGGCAACATGACGAAACCCTGTCTCTACCAAAAATACAAAAATTGGCTGGGCATGGTGATCCATGCCTGTAATCCCAGCTACTCAGGAGGCTGAGATGGGAGGATCACTTGAACCCAGGAGGCAGAGGTGGCAGTGAGCTGAGATTGTGCCACTGCACTCCAGCCTGGGCAACAGAGCAAGACTCTGTCTCTAAATAAATAAATAAATGCAAATACAAATAAAAATGTAAAAACAAAGTGAAAGATGAGTCCATATATTCTCATAATAAGGGGAGGGACCCAAAAGGCCCTGGATCCACTTGACTCAGGGGCTTCTCTCCTGGATGTCTCATCGGTGTCTGGGATGTAACACATCCCTTCATGCCCTCTTTGTCCTTGCCGCAAAACTGCTCCTCCCCTTGGGCCCTCTGAAGGTCACCAACATCTACCCAGTCAGCCCATCTGTATACTCAGGCTTATCTTCCCATGTCTCTCCTGCTAGTCCTTGCCCACTTAAACCAGATAGTGCCCATAACCAGGCTGCCCTCACTCTGAAACACATCCTGTGTCCATTCCTTCCTCTCCACCCCAGCACAGACCACCAGCATCTTCCTTGCTGAGCCTGCAGCAGCCTCCAGTTCTCCCTAACATCAGCCTGCCTACTTCCAGCTCATCCTCCTCTCAGTTGCCAGACTATCCTTCCTTCTTTTTATTTGTTAGAGGAGGTGGTAGTCTGAATAATAGCGCCACAAAGATGTCATCGCCCTAATTCCTGGAACCTTTGAATGTGTTACGTGATATATCAAAGGGGATTTTGCAGATGAGATGAAGATCTCAAGATGGAAGAGATTATCCCAGGTTATCTGAGTGAGCTCAGTGTAGTCACAAAGGTCCTTATAAGAGGGAGGCAGGAGGGTCAGATGGGAGAAGGACCACATAATGACAGAGGTCAGAGAGATTTGAAGGTGCTACACTGCGGGCTTTGAAGATGGAAGAAGGGGCCTGAGCCAAGGAATGCAGGCAGCCTCTAGATGCTGGAAAAGGCTAGGGGGCAGACCCTCCTCTAGAGCCTCCAGAAGGAATCCACCTGCTGTTACCTCGACTCTAGCCCAGGGGGACCCATTTTCAACTACTGATCTCAAGAACTGTCAAGATGACACATTGGCAGTCATTTGTTTCAGCAGCAATACGAAATGGATACAGTGGTTTGCAAACAGGGTTAAATGCACATATATATGCCCAGTGAAAGCTGTTTTCAATTGAAACAAAAATCCGAGTGACAGCTCAGATTCCTTTGACATCTTTTTTTTTTGAGCGGGGTGGTGGGGTTGGGGGGACAGGGGGATGAGTTCTCTCTCTGTCACCCAGCCTAGAACGCAGTGCCGTGATCTTGGCTCACTGCAGCCTCCGCCTGCTGGGCTCAAACAATCTTCCCACCTCAGCCTCCTGAGTAGCTGGGGACTACAGACATACACCATCAACCCAGCTCGTTTTTGTTTGTTTGTTTGTTTGTACTTTTGGTACAGACAGGGTCTTGCTATGTTGCCCGGGCTGATCTCAAACTCCTGAGCTCAAGCCATCCACCCGCCTCAGCCTCCCAAAATCCTGGGATTACAGGCGTGAACCATGGCGCCTGGCCTCCCTTGATGTCTTTGTGCGTGACTCCAGGCCAGGCTCTGTGAGAAGATGACTCTCTCACCCCAAATCTGCTTCTGAAAAGCACAGGCAGTTTGATCATGCTTTTTTGTTTGTTTGTTCATTTGTTTTTTTGAGACGGAGTCACCCAGGCTGGAGTGCAGTGGCGC